CACTTTGAAACTCCACACAGATTGGACAGGAGCTAAATGTTTTCCTTGGCAGATAACAGGATATGACGGTTGAGGTTAATTTAAATTTACGTGTGTAAAAATAAATAGGCAGTACATTGCCATCTCAGATCTACAGACTCCTTCCAAAAAGACTGCCTTAATTTAAATAAAGAATGCATAAGGTAATGCATCAGCTACATACCAAATATTGACGCAGCATTCCCTCTTTTATATTCATAGAACACTCATTTGGAGCATCAGTGAGATAAAGCTCTTTGGAGCATCCCCCTGCTCTTTTTTTTTTTTTTAAGCAAAACAACAAAACATGATTCATGCTTAGATGTGTATTTTGGAGCATCATGCCTAGACAATTTTAACGAGAGTTTTGAAAAGTTTTGTGGAAAACCCTGAAAACCACTGCAGCAGTCAGATCTTTATTTGAAACTATTATGTATATAGTCTTAATCTAAATCCCATTTGAAGTCAGTGAAAAAAACCCTGTCGCCTTCAGAGGCCTTTGGATCAGATCCTTTGTTTCCAGAGGTACAGAACAGCAAATTTCAAATGTATGCAAGAACGAGGAGTATACAACTACTAAATAAATGGTAACACTAATCTGTGAAAAAAGACACTTTTTATAAAGGGCAACTCAAAATTATGAGATCTCATATTTGATGGTATATTTTTTTTAAAAGACAGGCTGCAAAAGGCCTGATCCTGAGCATTTTATTCCTACATATCCCTCTACAAATGAAGGTGTCTAGAACAGAATTACATTCTATTTTGGAGATCATAAGTCAAATTTAAATAAAACCCTTCTAGAACTGGAGATTTAAAATATCCTCTGTGAGTGCAGAGGAATACCTGTGGACAGATTTCTGCACCAGTGCTAAGAGAATCACGGGCTGGTTTGCTCTCTAGTGAGAAGTTACAGGCCAGAATTATTAGTGACTCCACAAATGTGCACACAGACTATCTTACTGAATATCTGGTGGAGGGGGATTGCTCCAAAGGCCATCAAATTCAGCTCAACAGAATTCAATGTATTGTGGCTCAGGTATTGAGTCAGATGCATAAACAAGGACAGATCTGCACAGCCCAGCACAGTTTAGAGCAGACAAACTCAGGACTTGCAGAAGTGCGTGTGTACTTCCAAACACCTACCCGACCATTTTCTATCTGCTGGGATCACTGCTGGGGAACGCCTATTGTGCTGGCTACAGGGATTCCAACTTTTTGTCTTCTGGCTGCAAACGTGAGTCTAGCTGCACACACACTGAATAGATGAACACTTATCTCTGCGACAATCAAACGCGCAGGGCGAGCACACGCTGCACGAACACACATGCAGCTATGAAGGAACACACTCCACGGTGTGTCTTATTTGAGAAACAAAACACATGCAATCATATTTTTAAATTATTTTTCCCCCCTTCTCGGACAGGTACAGGCACCATAAACCAGCATTAGAACTCTGGCAGCGTGGCTTTGTTGTGCATCTCAGACCTGCACAAGCACCACACTGCAGGGGGATGAGGGAGGGTTGATTACCAGCACCTGCTTCAAGCTGCGAGGGACTGATGCAGTTAGCAGGAAAAATGCCTAATTAGAGCACATTTCCATTTTCCTGAGGGAAGGTGTCACGATCACGGGCCTGCCCCTGCCCTGAGCACCCATGTGCGTGGCAGACTCTGAGCACCAAGGCCCTGCCAAGGTTTACGGAACATGTGGCACACGGATGGAGGCCGAGTGCAGCACAGAACCCACTCTGCTCGCAGGGGAGCTGATGAAGCAATGAGTGAATGTGAATTACCTCCCCCCAACCACCAAAAAAAAAAAAAAAAAAAAAAAAAAATCGTTTTTTTTTCCCCCAAAGAAAACTAGATGAAAAAAGGCATTCCTTTCACTCCTTTTATTTCTGCTTAGCTGCTACCGAAGGTTTATGAATACTTGGCATGTACTATAAGAAGACAGTGCTGTACCCACAGAGCCACACAAAATAGAATCCAGCCTCACAGTCCTACTCATCTCACATATTCAACAAAGACGAGAACCCCGGACTGCACTCACATCTAGAAGAGCTAACTCCCTCTCCATTCTCTTTCCCTTTCTTCTCTCCACCTCCTCCTCTCCTTTACCCACAATAAAATCTCTCTTACCCTGATCCAAACCCGGCAACGTTCATCTGGACGAAATTACAATTAATTTTAAAAAGTTTAGCCAGATGGCCCAGTTGCTATCTCTGGCAGTAAGCTCCCATGGTAGCCCGCCTGCCTGCAGATCCTGTTCCTGTGGGATCACTGCTGTGCCACGCACGGAGCACGGCTCTGCCCAGCACTCCGCACCCCTCTCAGGCCTGGAACACATGGACCTCACCCTTGTGTTCCCCTTGCTCTCCACACCAGTGGGTAAAAGCCAGATTTTCAGCCAAGATAGGTGGGAGGCTAACAAGAGACAGTTCATTTATCAGCAACTCCTTAATTTTCCTTTCGAAGGACAAAACTGCATTTCGAGGATTGAGATGAGGGAGAAACACTCATTTTGCCCTCAACTTGCTCTATCATAGAATATTTTAATTCTGCTTCACTCAACTATTACCTGAAAATACGCAAAACTTCATAATTTTTATCTGAAAATACGCCAAATTTCATCCTAACCAGCTATAAAATAAATCTTTTAATTAAGCAAAGTATTGTCTATGCTTTTCATTTTTCATTACATGCACCAAACATTTTGTACGAGAATCTTGGCACTCCAACACAAAACACTTTCAAAATGTAAATGCTCCAGCTCACATGCATAATTTCTGAAGACATTCATCTGAGGGACTGAATAGTTCTATCAGCAGTTATATTTCAAGTTACAGACAAAAAATAATTTTGAATTTAAACCCTGGAAATTGCCAATCTAATGAACAGATTTTAATCCCTCTTCAATTAACATGCACGTGGTCTTTATACACTGCTATGTTCAGCATACTTATAGAAACCCTCACTGTGAAATAAACCAGGCAATTCTGCTTCTTTTACTTGCAGAGGTAATTTCTAGCAAACCTCCACAAAAAAATGAACTAATATGTGAGAAACAATTTTATATTCCTTTAAGCTAGTCCTCATCAACAAAACAGCCCCCAAGTATTACAAGCTAAGGATAAAATAAAAAAAAAAAAAAAAAAAAAAAAAAAAAAAAAAAATCTTCTTTAGATAAATAGCATCATTAGGAGCAGTATTGCCGAGTACTCTGAAATTTCTCAGTGAGGAGTGTTCAGCAGTTTGTGAACCCTCAACTAATATTTTATTAGCATTGTACCGTGTAGCTGCTACAGGCCTCTAAAAATTACTTTGAAGAAATTAATTTTAGCTATCACCAAGCCACATGCTCCTAAATTCCTTTCTTAATCTACACAGTTCACTAAAATATTCTCTAGTTACTCTGAGCATGATCAGCCAATAAATACTGCTTTACTACTCACAGTTATGAGTTGTATTTCAGTTTATGTTGCCATAAAACACTTCTAATGCAATGCCAATACGGAGATGGTTTTGATACAATGCTGTCAATGGCCTGAATTTAAAATTATTTTTTTATAAATCACTAGGTATTTTCAAATTATTTTGGGGTGTTTTTGGGGGGTTTTATTTAGTTTTTTATTTTTTGCAGAGAAAGCCTCTGAACTTATTTGTGTTTGGTCTGTTATTTACTTTAAATCCTAGGCATAAATAAAATTAACAGGAAAATATTAAAATATTTTACACAAGCCTCCCATTTTTTCCATTGTGCAGAAAAAGCATTTTGGTTTAGAAATACATATGAAAGGACTAGTTTCCTCATAAAGTGTCCTGAAATATATTTATTTTCAGATACTTTAATTTCCACATAGATTAGTCTATATAAAGAATTGAAAATACCTATTATTTTAAGTCTGGCAATTTCACAGTTGTAATAAATCCTAAGTGTTTAACTATCTGTCAAATTGCGCCTAACTCCGTACATCTCTATCCACATGCTACTTTGGTCTATAAATGGCATTACTCTAATATTTAAGTATTCTACTTAAAATAAATTCCTTCATTAACACTCAAAGAGAAAAAGAGTGGGAGTGTGCGTGAGCATGTGCCAGATTGCATACGTAAAAGATAAAAAGAAAATACACTTTTGGCACTTACGGACCTTTAAAGGCCTTGAAAAATAGTATTTTTAAATATATTATAACAAATGGTAATTAGACACTAATACTGAACAATTCCAGGTATCAAAAAATTTAAACACGAATGATGAAAATATTTACGTTCAAAATCATGTTGCTAAGAAAATCAGGAAATGTAATTGTGATGAGATACAATCATTGAAGAGCATCAGATAGTTACCTGCAAAGCCAGGAGTTGAGCAATGCCACCAGGTCCCTTCTCTCGTATGTGTCCCTACAAATAAACCCCATGCACTGGCTGGTGGCTACGGTACAGCTGCTCTGCACAGGGATGCTTAATAATGCTTCACACAGACTGAAATATTAAATAAATGTAAAAAACTTGCACCGCCCAACTTTGTTTCTTCTCTTAAGCTCCCTTCTATTTCTATTTTTCAGAAGGGAAGGGGGAAGCGCCATTCAGGAAAGCAGTTATATTGTGCTCAATGAAGGCAGGACTGGCACAAGTCCTAGAACATTTGCATTCAGAAATAAAAGCTGTGATCGACCTTTGTCTGCTAAGAAAATGAAGCTTGCTAGTTTTAAACAGGCTAGCGAAGGGAGGGGCAGACTCGATAGAGAGGGAGAAGAGAACCTAAAAAACAGCAACAATAGCAAATATTAGTCTATCACATCCTTAATAGGCAGCAAAGCGATCCTCCCGAATGAGCCTGCACCTCGCCGGGCTAATAACGCACTCCTGGTTAATCATAAATTATCAGGCAGCCGCGAGCCAATGTGCCGATCCCCACGTAGTTCCCGAAACTTGATTTTCCCACTTGGCATCCCCTGCGCTCCGGCGGGAGCAGCTTACCCTGGCAGGGCGGGACGGCGGCCCGCGAGCCGCCGATGGATGCGGCGCTGGGTGTTCCCCTCGCAGCTCCGCAGTCCCCGGGAAGGCGGGCGGGAGGCTCCGGGCGAGGCGGCGCATCTGCGCGGCCGGGCAGGCCCGGGAGGCGGCCTCGCCCCGCGCCCCGCACCGGCCCCGCCGGCAACAATGGGCGGCTGCGAGGGGTGGCAGGGACGGCGGCGAAAGGAAGGGAGCAGAGCAGGCAGAAAGGAAGGGAGAAGAGAGGGGAGGGAGCGAGGGGGGAGAGACGGAGGGAAAGAGGAGAGGAGGGGAAAAAAGAGAAGCGTGTTAAGCTTGTCTGGTAGTTAACAAGTCTTGAATGAAGAATGTTAGCAAACAGACAAACAGCATGTCTGATGCATGCTAATAGTCCTGGCTTCACCACTGACAATATGAATAATTCAGCAGAAAGGAGGGAAAAGAAGAAGCGGGGGGGGGGGGGGGGGGGGGGGGGGAAGAAAAAAAAGAAAAAAAAGGCATCCTCCCTTCACGCTCCCAAACGTCTGCAGAGGAGACGGGAATAAAAAGTGTGCCGCAACTTTCTCCTTCCCACCCATCGCACAGAAAATATTCAGCAAAAAGGCCGGTTGGGCACCAGCCCTTTCGCCAGCCCAGCCTCTCGGAGATTTTCGATTCCTATTTTTGTTGCCTATTAATTTCCACCCCCCCCCCCAACCCCCCCCCCAACCCCAACCCTAACCCTAACCCTAACCCTAACCCTAACCCTCCCCCCAACCCCCCTCCCTCTTTACCGCCTATTTTACTTCTTTTGTCTGGGAGCTGGCACCTGTCCCAGAGACGGCATTTTACTGCACATCCCCTTTTCCCTCCTCAGCAGAGAAAAGGGGGGGTGTGGGGGGGAAGGTCTGCAAGGACGAAACAGCCTGTGCACCCCCTGCCCCCCAGACATCCCCCCCATATTTCCTTTTCAGCCACGGTCCAATTACAAGGGGTTTGGAGGGATATCACACGCCCTATTTCACATGGTGCAGATACCTACAGCCATTAAAAATATGTTTCTACGAAAGAGAAAGAGAAAGGCAGAGAAAGCAAGAGGCTCGTTCCCTGAGCAGCACTGTGCACTGGGACCCCGGGGAGGAAAATCACCAGCAAAAGCTCTCATCCTCAGAGCACACAAACCTGCAAAGCCCGAGTCATTGCTCAGGCAAAGGAATCCATTTCCTTAACAGAGGGAAAAGGGAGTGAGGGAAAGGGACGAGCAGAGGGGCGAGCCCTCGGCGCTTTGCCCTCTGCATTGGGATGTACAGCGCAGGAGAGGCGAGAACCAGCCCCGCTCGGGAACGCTGGGAGAGGAGAGGAGGGCTCAGGCAAGCAGAAGAAAAAGAAGATCCTATTTGCAGCATTTTTAAAAGTTCTGCTCTGGCAAAGGCCGTCTGAAGGGGAGGCCCTTGCAGCAAGAATGCGAGCAGCAGCCGCCTTTCCAGAGTCCAGCCTCCTTCTTGTGAGCGACTGGAGCAGTCTGGCGGAGGAGGAGGAGGAGGAGGACGACGACGACGTGAGCCAGCGAAACGCAGCGGGCTGGAGCTGATGATGAAAGCGGCACGGCCCTGCGCGGACAGGCTCCTTTCCATCCCCCGCAGCCACGGGCACACGGACACGCACCGAGCCCAGCTCTGCTGCGACCCCCGCCGGGTACCCCGCGGGCCGGGGGCTGCGATGGGGACGGCGCCGCAGGGAGGGGACCCGGCAGAGAGGCAGCGATAGGAGGAAAGGCGCTGCGCTGGAATGTAAATGCACCCACGCTATGGCAATATGCTTGACAGGGCAGTGCGGCTAATGAAGCTTTTAATTGGGGGAGGTGGGGGTGTGTGTGTGTGGGGGGGTGGTTTCTACGGAAATATCTCCCGGGATTAAACGGAGAGAAGAGGCTCCTCTCTGCAGTCACACACCTACACCGCTCTGCGTAACACAACAGTCCGCAAGGACCACGAACTACAGCACACACACACACACAAAACCAACCCCAACCTACCGAGCTGAAAATGGCTATTTGAAAAAGTAAATACTGTATGTGACAGAAAAACTTTGCGATTTTGTTTTCTCATGCCCTTACTTCCAAACCAGCTGCACAGCCAAGCTCAGGCTGCTTGGCCCTTATAACTCTCTTGGCACCGAGTCAAAAGCTGATAAGCATTTGGGCGAGACAGCTCAACTGCTGTGCTGGAAGAAAAACAGCTGCCATGATTGCTGTTTGATTGAGAGCGCTCGCACACACTCACAAAAAACATACCAGGCTGCAAGGACGGGCCACAAATGCCTGAGGATTCAGCTTCAGAAGATCAACATACATTTCCTTAAAAAAAAAAGAAAAAATTATATAGTTTTGCCTCCAAACACCCTCCCCTTCTTTAAAGAAAACGTGCTGCGTGGACTTGCTTTTCTTCTTCCCATCCCCCCTCCATAACCTCAAGCAAACTCAAGGAATTGTGCCAAAAGTCCCGTTGCTAGTTACCAAGTGCATTTTTTTAAACGTCCCTTTGATACTTCTTTCCCTCCTGCTTGCCATGGAATATGCAAGTAAGATAATCTTTCAATTACTTACAAGAAGTAATTAAAAAAGAACTTCTAGCTCAGCGTTCCTTTCCCTCTTTCTCTCTTAAGGGGCAAGAGGAGGGAAGCGAGGGGGAGAAGGATGTTTTTTCTCTTTGCGGAGTCCAACATTTGGCTTTTTCCATTTGTGGCAGATCACTGTAACGCTATTGTAAAACAACTTCCTGCCCCTTTTGGCTCATGTTCCAGAAGCTGCTAGGCTAAGTTCATAGCACAAACTTTTTTCCCCCTTGCCGAAGAAGATAGACAAAAAAAAAATTCCTGCAAATTATTTCCCCCCTTTTCTGGCTCATGGACTCACAAGGTGAATTTATTGCAGCTCTTTAAGAATATTACACAAGAGACGTCGGTATCCCAGCTGGATAATTCATAAGATGAAAAGGTGGGGTCATTATAAATATATGTCTCTGTGTGTGTGTGTGTGTGTGCCTGCATTTTAATTCTGTCATTTTGAATTGTAAGTCTCAGTACCATCAGGTGGATAATGAGCTAAGCTGCTTCATCTGCCGTACTAATTTGTATATCTATCATAGCACAGATCATTGGCTCAGTACATACAGCCTCCTACTTTCCAATTGCTTTTGTGCTCTAAGGTGACCTGCATCTCTCTCATCTCCCTCCTCTCCTCTAAATGCTCAGCCTCATGAAAATACCCACTGGAAGCTCCTAAACCCTCCTTGCTAGAAACGGGAGACATTGCAGTCTCTCTGCTATAAGCCAAAAAGGAAAACTAAGGCCTCCACAAGTTGCTCTCTCACGGTCTCTCCCTCCCTCCCTCCCTCCCTCCCTCTCCCTCTGTTTCTCTCATAGCAACAGCATTTCTTGGTGCGCCTGCTTTGGCATACATCAGCATTTCCATCGTCCAAGTGTCCTTTTGCGTCACATCTCGCCATTTCATTCAGCCAATGAAATCTCCTTCTTGCAATAAAAATATAGAGACTTTTTCTGTTATTGGTATATTCAAAATTTTTTTTCATGTGCTTTCCTAACAAAAAACGTTGTCAAGCATTTGATTTGCCCTGCACTGGGTGGGTGCCCAGCCCCAGCCAAGTCCAGAGGGCACGGGGTGGCACATGTGGCTTTCTCCGAGCTCCAACGACTCCTGCCGAGGTGAATTTAGGGAACCTCTGTTACCCATTTCCATCCAGCCTCAGATCTCCAGAAAATGCTCAACCACCAGCATTCTGAGGAGAATACACATTTCTTCTGTAAGCAAAATATATGTTTTATGGTTTTCCCTTACCAACTTCTTTTTTTTTTTTTTTAATGGTGTGAAACCACAAAATGTTTCTAATATTTATTTTTAGGGAATTATAGTAAAAGCATACTAGAGATTATCAGGACACAGTTGACAAGATATTTAAACAGTAACTTTCCCACAAATATTTATTTCAGTAAAATGACACCTAGTAATTCTGACCTCTTCTAATAACTGGTCTCTATTGCATATAGGCTGTGGATGCAGAGGATGTGCATAAATTCTGGGTGGGTAAAAAGTAAAAGCAAGAAAAATTTCTGGATAACAGCCTTAGCAGCAGATAGTCATCACATCCAGCTAAAACTCTTATAATTTTTGTTTTAAAATAATGGCATGACATTCCTGATAGTATTTATTTTAACAGAACATCCACAGATGAGAATGTTAACCCTGCACAGAAAAAAAGAGATTACACATAACAGTGCAGTCAACAACTTTTAATGCCAATGAAATATAAAAGACAGACCTATTTTTTAGGGAAGGACTGGACTTACGTAGACAAATTTCTTAGCTCAGAGTGCTTTACTTGTATTTAATCAGCTTTCTGAATGACTTTCCCCCTTGTTTCTCAGACATGATTTTTCACTCCCTATTTATTTTTCTACTTTCTATATAAAACATAGGTCCTCTTGTTCTTTACTTTCCATACCTGCCCCTTCGTTTCTCACTTTTTGTTAATGTGAAAACAGCTGAGGTTCATCCCTTCTTTTGCCTGCTCCTAATGGGAATAATTCTGGTGCATTTGGAGGGTTAAAAGTGCCTCGCCTTTACACAATTATGGCTCGTATTCATCCACCCAAAGCTATCCTTCCTCAAGGAGACACATAAATGCATTCTGTCTGTCACCACAGTCGTGAAGTAAGGTTGAAAGTTGTCTAACTTTAGGTTACTGCAGAACTAAAAAATTAGGGATTCAGGAAACAGGAAAACAATTACCTCAAGTTCATCTTGTAAGTTTCTCTTAACAGAAATGAAATTCCAAAAAAGGGAGGCAGAAGAATTATTTTAAGATTCATCATCCCTGAATAAATTCAAATTATGCAAAGAGTAGTAAGCCAGTATTTTCACACCACAGATTATACTATTACAGAATTTAATATTTCCTTACTTTTCCTTTATCTCAAGTTCTGTCTATTGGAAACTCATTAAAAATACTCCTGATGAACACTAATTAATTTCCTTGTATTTTAACTCAGAGTGGCATCTCTTGTTCTTTCCTCTCAGTTTGGTATGACAGAGACATCCACACTGAGGTCACCTCTAAGCAGATCATGATTTTTTGCTCTCCAGAT